AAGAGAAAAGAGATGGAGAGGAGAAGAAAAAGCATGCAAAGAGGATGACTCCCACAGGAGTAAATATCAGATAAATCAAGGGGAAAAGAGGACGTGTTATAACAGGCCAGCCAATGGCTTCCTAGACGGCAGAGCTGGAGTCAAATGAAGGCAGAGATGAGGTCACCGGGTTTAGTAATCAGGAAATGAGTGGTGACCACTGAGTGAGCAATTCAGTAGCATGAAATCAGACTACATTTTGTTGAAGGCCTGACTGCAGTGTGTTCAGAAGGGAACAGAGAGCTTCGAGGGTGAACGCCTGTTTTGAAAGGTCCGCCAGTAAAATGGCGGTGGGAAGGTAGGCAATTACGTGGAAGCTGATCAAGGGAAGGCTGCCTCTTGTTTGTTTAAACAAGAATAACAGCTGTAGACAGGATGACAGGGGAAACAGAGGAGAGGGAGGGACAGAAGATAGAAGATGTGGTGACTAATGGCTCAGGGTCCCTGAAATCCTCCAAGTAAGAGGCCTCAAGAACTTAGAGAAAGAGATCCATCTTGGGAAGTAAGAGGGCCAGATGAGCAAGAAAAAATGAGCAGAAGACACGTTTGAGGGATGAAAAGGTGTTGAAGGGGCTCTTGTCAGTTGGCTGTGATGTCAGTGACATAGGTTGGCCATGGAGTGATGAGCTAACAGCGGAGCTGGGGAAGCGTGGGAAGTGAAATTCCTGCCTCGAGTACCAAAGGCGGTCAACTACAAAGGAAAGAATTGCTAAACAGTACTTCTAAACAACCGAAGGTGACCAGTACCACTCTCCCGTGGAATTCATTCTGTGGCTTTCTTCAGCAATGCTTGACAGGCTGAAAGTAGCAATAAAAAAAAAAAAAAGTGCGATCGGGGCTTTCGCTGGGCACCGGCAAAGTGGGTAAACCGGAAAGACAAGAATAAGAGAATTCTAGACTGTTAGTGAAAACAGGTTGCAATTTCCTTAGTGAGTGGATGCTGGGTACCATTAAGGGCCAAGCACTATGCAAGGTACTAAAGATTTCATAGTGATCGAGATGGGTAAGTTCCTTCCTGGCAGAAATTTTAAAGCTTAATGAAAGATAAAGACAAACAGGGAATAATAATACGCTTTGATAAATGCTGTAATGAGAGTTGTTCTTAGCTGGGGGCAATTCTGCATGCATACACACACGCACACACACCCTGGGAAGCTGTAGCAATGTATGGAGATATCCTTGGTTGTCAGAAGTTGGGGAACAGGAGGTATGCTGTTGGCATCCAGTGAACAGAGGCAAGGGTTGCTGCTAGATATCCTATGGCATGCGGGCAGGATAGCCTGTACAACAAAGAATTATGTTAAAGTCCACAATGTCAATAATGCCAAGGTGGAGAAACCCTGCTCTACAGACATATAAGAGGTACATCAAATCTAGGCACGGGAGAACAGAGATTTTCTTTTCTTTTTTGTCTTAAAGAGAGAGGGTGTAAGTGAGTGAGGGGCAGAGAGAGAGAGAATCCCACTGCACGCAGAGAGAGAGAGAAAGAGAGAGAGAGAGAGAGAGAGAGAGAGAGAGAGAGAGAGAGAGAGAAGTGGGACTCACCAGAAGCGGGGCTTTAGCTCACCAAAGGTAGGGCTCAAACTCACGAATTGTGAGATCATAACCTGAGCCGAAGTTGGATGCTTAACCAACTGAGCCACCCAGGTGCCCCCAGAGATATTCTGGAGTAGCAGACCTGAAAGACTGGAGAAAATATCCAGGTAGGAAGTGAAGAAGAATTTGTACAACATGTGCAAAGGCCCAGGGGCTAAAAAGCAGGGCATAAACAGGGGGATCAGGAGGCATCACCATCACCTAGTTACTGAGGAAATACTGTGTGTCCAAGTTTCTACAAGATAACAGATCTCCACTTTAAGATGTAGTCCTCAATGGGGGTGCCTGGGCGGCTCAGTGGGTTAAGCGTCCGACTTCGGCTCAGGTCATGATCTCATGGTTTGTGAGTTCGAGCCCCACATCAGGCTCACCGCTGTCAGCACAGAGTCTGCTTTAGATCCTGTCTCCCTCTCTCTCTGCCCCTTCCCCACAGGTTTTCTCTCTCTTTCTCAAAATAAATAAATAAAACTTAAGTTTTAAAATCAATCAGTCAATTACATGCAGTCCTCATGAACAATCCTCAAAGTCAGACATCATCTCCATGTTACACATGAGGAAAAACCGTGGCCTGGGGAATTAAGTAAGTTGTCTTAGGTCACGCAGCTGGTGAATGGCGGGGCTCCAAAGCGGAATCTAGGTCTGCTAACTCTTTTTTTTATTTATTTTTTTATTTTTTTTTTCAACGTTTATTTATTTTTGGGACAGAGAGAGACAGAGCATGAACGGGCGAGGGGCAGAGAGAGGGAGACACAGAATTGGAAACAGGCTCCAGGCTCTGAGCCATCAGCCCAGAGCCTGACGCGGGGCTCGAACTCACGGACCGCGAGATCGTGACCTGGCTGAAGTCGGACGCTTAACCGACTGTGCCACCCAGGCGCCCCTAGGTCTGCTAACTCTAATAAGACCTTGTCCAACCCCTAAACTCAGCTGCCTTTGCAAAGCTAACAGTGGCCACGTCTGTTGGAGGAGAGTAATAAGTGACATGGAAGGGCTGGAAGGAAGCACATGACAGACCTCGGGAAGTCTGTGAAAGGGTTTGGAGACTGTCCTGAGGCAGTGGGCAATCCTGGACAGATTTTAAGTCAAAGTCCCAGGGTCAAATCTGCCTTAAAGAAAGATCACTTCTAGCCGCAGTGCAGGGAACAGGGCAAAGGAAGAGGATGTTGTAATTCATAAGTCCAGAGAGGATGCTGTCCTGAACAAGAGAGGGGACAGTGAGGAAGGAATTCAAGAAAAGTTCAGAAACTAAGACGTGTACTTAGTGACTGGAAGTCAGGCGAGAAGCAGGGGATGACCAACCAGCTTTCCGGTCAGGGCACGGTAGTGGATGAAAGTGCCATTCAATGGATAGAGAACACAGCAGTGTGGGGGGAGCAAATGTAATGAGTTCAGTTGGGGACATAAAATTCATATTTAAATGGAAAGAGAAGAAGACCAGCCTGGAGACAACAGTTAAAACAAGATGTGAGAAGAAGCTTAAGGAGAAGCAGGAATGAGGACAGTGAGCAGGTTTAATGGGGATGACGAGGCAGAGAGAGGCTCTGGTCAGAGAGAGCATTGCAGAGTTTGAGATCCCATGGACACACCAGTTCTCACGGCAGTCACTGCAGAACAGGGAAAGCGCTAGAGGTAAGCAGCCAAAGTGTGCTGGGATTACAGGGTTGTGTGTATTAATGACATGGACGTAGAAACCTTTCAGGATGATCCGAGGAGGTCAGTGGAGCATGCTATGGACTCCAAGTGTGTGCCCCTCCAAAATTTATGTGTTGAAACCTAACCCCCAATGCGATGGTATAAGGATGTTTGGCCTTTGGGAGGTTATTAGATCCTTAGGAGGGATCCCTCATGAATAGGATTAGTGCCCTTATAGAAGAGGCCCCAGAGAGCTCCCTCACCCCCTTGGCCATGTGAGGACACAGTAAGAAGACAGCCACGTATGAGCCAGGAAGCAAGCCCTCACCAGATACCAGATCTGCTGGTGCCTTGATCTTGGGCTCATAAGCCCCCAGAACTGTGAGAAAGAAATATTTGCTGTTTAAGTTCTGTTACAGCAGCCTGAACAGACAAAGACAAGGGAGAAAAGGGTCAGAGGCTAACGCTCTTAAAAAGTATCAAATAGCCAACAACTATTTTATAAACCCAAGTAATAAAATGGATGATTTTCCTTAAAATGAGTCTCAAATAGTGACATCTAAGATTGAGAGTTTATATTGATTAAAATCAGGGAGAGGAGAGACAACAATGATTTCAAAGAGGAATGGCCACTAACGTAGATGATAAAACAAAGGCCTGGAAATGGCAGTAAGGAGGGAGAGGATGCTGATCCCTCCATCACAGCCAGATGAGGCGAGGGGAGTGGCAAAGGGCCTTCACCGGAGGGTTAGAGGGTCACGGTGTCATTGAGGGACAGCTAGAGTTCAGTACAGATAAAGAACTAGGAGTGTTTGAGGAGACAAAGCATATAAGGGAGCTTGGTCTGAATGAATAGAAGTTTCAGAGGCACAGGGGCATTAGTAATGAAAGCAGTGAGGGCCAGTGGTCTGGGAAGAGTCACGGATGAACTGGATGGAGACAAATGGATAAGGCAGTGACTGAGGAGCTAAAGAGAGAGTTGAAGAGCCCATACCTTAATAAAATACTGCTGCTGCTCTATGGCTTAGACCAAAGCTATCCAACAGAATGCTTCACAGAAATGTTCTATATCCACACCGTCCAATACAGTAATCACTAGCTACTCGAAGTGTGGCTGGTATGGCTAGGGAAAATACATGGCAACTTCGGTAGACTCAGACGGGGCAAGGAATCCACGATAACCTCCCATAATTCAAAGTGCTTACGACACTGCCTGATCATCAAGTGGTAACTATTACTGTCATTATCATGATCACTCAATGTGTTTGATTTAGCATCCAGGCGTCCGGACTCATTCATAGCTAAAGATGCTATTCTGTACACATATATTATTCATTATCTGTGGCATATTTGGATGTTCTCAAAATCTCCCATGCATGGAGGAGAAACATTTGTCTGCAGTCATACTTGAACGTGTACACATGTAGTTAAGATCTTCACAGCACGCGAAATCACCAGCAAATGAAAAGGTGAGGCATGCAAGTCTCTCCAAGTACCTTGCCATGTCGCTCTCTATTCTCTGAACAGCGATATAACAAGAGGATTTGCAGAGGACTAAGAATTCTACCAACAGGAAATCTATTTAATTCAGCAAAGCCAACACTAAAACACTGGTCTTTGCTTTGCGTGTTTCGAAAAAAAGAGTTTAGTTAAGGATGAACAGTCACAGGAATACTTGGAGGAGAAAAAAGAGCAGTGACAGGCTGCCTTAATTTTGATCTTCTGAGACTTGCCTTGGTCTTCTCGAAATTGGCTTCCTCGGCCACTTGCACGGCTTGCTTCACCTGCTCATAAGCGCCGGCTTCTCTTTCCTGCACGTCTGTCAAGATGCTCCTGACGGAAACTAGTGCGGACATTAAGTCATCTCTTTCCCTGTCAGCACAAAAAGAACATTCGAAACAAGAAATGGTCACACGATCATGTATTCGTGAGTCAGGAAGAAAAAGGCATTAACACACAGTAGAAGAAGAGCCAGGGTGGGCCGGCTTAGCACGTCCTAAAGCACACCCTGGAGAAAGGCCCTCTGTCCTCCCCTGGCGAGGTGCATGCAGAGGGGCCAGAAAGGCTGAGGCTTCATGGCAGGACTGAGTCTGGAGGGACAACCACCTATTGTGGAAAGGATGACCACACTGCGGGCTGCAGATTCAAGCCCAGAAAAGAGGAAGTTAGCCTGCAAATTAAAAGGTTGGGGGCTGGGAGGAAAAAAAGGAATAAGACAGAGAAGGTGGGGGCTGTACACAGGTTCAGGGGCTGCTAAGGCCTTGTCTACACTGCTGACTCCCCACGCATTTATCTGAACAAATAGGTCCTTTCCTTTTTATCTTTCTCCATCATCCTCTTTTTGACCTTTCTCTCTCTCTCTCTTTTTACTTTGAGAGAGAGAGAGAGAGAGAAAGAGAGAAACAGAGAGACCACAGCGGGAGAGGCAGGAGGAGAGGGAGAGAGAATCTCAAGCAGGCTTCACATTCAGTGCAGAGCCCAACACAGGGCTCGATCTCATGACTGTGAGATGACCTGAGCTGAAATCAAGAGTCGGACGCTTGACTGACTAAGCCACCAGGTGCCCCTGCCCTACTCTTTCAATTAAATTCTTTCACTTACTTATGAACCCATTTCTTCTTTCAAAGGGTGGTACTGCTGAATCCCTCAAATAGTCTGGTTCCACAGAGAATGCTCAAGATTTAACAAAATCCCATCCTGCTGGGTTGGACCGCTGCCTGGTCCCACACCCTTGTCAGCAATTCTCAGAAGCCCTCTGTCCTTGGGGACAGATGGAACCAGATGCCAAAACACTTTGGCATGTAACATAGCAAAGGCCCAGTCCCATGGGTTAAATAAATCCCATATAAGACTTTAGGATATTTGGAATTTATCCACTGGATAAAAGTGACCAGCTGACCAAAGAGAAAATGAGGTGGGCAAATTTCTATACACACAAAGCAAAGAACTCTAAGTTGGGCTCATATGTATGCTATTCCATGCTTTGTTGGAGAGCTCAAGTTTAAACCATGGTTTCAAATTCAGTGAAAGTAACTGCTTGAAGTTTCCTTTTTTTTTTTTTTTTTTTTTGGCCAAGTTCCAAACTACTGGGAGAGAGCCAATTCTGATTTTTTTTTTTTAATTTAGCAACCTTTAAGGAGCAATGATTTCAAAGATTATAGTCTCTGAGTTTGAGTGGCTTTCAGAATTAACGAATGACTCCATGTAAAAAAAAAAAATCTCTTAAGACAAAATAATTTAAACTATTTGTGGTATTTGGAAAGCAGTCATATTTTAAGAAATATGTAATACTGAACAAAGTTACAATTATTAGCAGTTTCATAAATGATCTTTTTGTTAAAAAAAAAGGATTGCTGCAAATATAAAATTCATGGGAGCATAGAGATCTTCAATTTAGAATTTCTTGGTTTGTTTTAAATTGAGAAAAATAATTTGTCTTTAATTCTTTTGTTCTAAAGGGAAAGAAAATGGAGTTCATTATTTTGGTCAAATCTAACCAACACAATGATTATGTGAAAAAGTAGAAGAGTCAAAGCAAGGTTAAATTGTTCTGGTTAAGGAAAAAATAGATTATATGAAGGCAAAAGTGAATGTATGCCTATTTGCATACCAAAAAAGCTCTAACATGAAAGGGGACTAGGTTCATTAAGACTATGCAGTCAGAGTTCCTGGGTGGCTCAGTTGGTTAAGCTTCTGACACTTGATTTGAGTTCAGGTCGTAATCTCCCGATTTGTGGGTTTGAGCCCCTCATTGGGCTCTGTGCTGACAGCTCAGAGCCTGGAGCCTGCTTCGGATCCTTTGTCTCCCTCTCTCTCTGCCCCTCCCTTGCTCTCACTCTTTCTCTCTCAAAAATAAATAAGCATTAAAAAAAATATGCAGTCAGGGCGCCTGGGTGGCTCAGTGGGTTAAGCCTCCTGACTCTTGATTTCTGCTCAGGTCATGATCTCATGGTTCTGAGATCAAGTACCACATTGGGCTCTGCGCTGACAGTACAGAGCCTGCTTGGGATTCTCTCTCTTCCCTGTTCCTCCCTGCCCCTCCCCACTTCTCAAAATAAATAAATAAACTTAAAAAAAAAGTTAAATAATAAAAAAAGAATATGCTGTCCAGGGGTGGTTCAGTCAGTGGGGCGTCCAACCCTTGATCTCAAGGTTGTGAGTTCAAGCCCCACGTTGGGCTCTGTGCTGGGTGTAAAGCCTACTTAAAGAAAAAGAAAAAGAAAAAGAAAAAGAAAAAGAAAAAGAAAAAGAAAAAGAGAAAGAGAAAGAGAAAGAGAAAGAAAAAGAAAAAAAGAAAAAGAAAAAGTATGCAATCCAACTAGAACCTACGATTCTAGAATAAGATAAAAATTTACTCTTTAAGGGCAGCAAGTCAAAATGGGCATCACATAGTCACCTTTCTTAAGGTTGTACGACCGACTAAGAGACCCAAGTTACTATTCAGTGATGCTCTGATCTGTTCCTGACACCGTGGCATCATTGAAGCCAAAGTTCCAACTAAAAAGAATTAACCGAAAAGCTCAGTGTTTATAGTATGCTGACAGATCACAACAGGATCAAAATCCAACAAATTTGCTTCTTACAGGAGACTTAATGCTTAATATGTTTAATCTCTTTTCAGTGTGTGTCCTCTTGTTAAGAGGAGTCTGCCAGACAGTAGATATTCAGTGTAACAGAGGACAAAGACCAAGTGGGTGAGTAGTGATCCTGCCACAGGAGGGCATCAAAGAGGTAAAGTAAAACTCCTCCCAGTTCTAGTATTGCATGATCTAAATTTAAAAAGTCACTAGGCTACTTAGAATTGGAAACTAAGGAGTTTTGTTGCTCTGGTTCAAAAAATTTTTCAGACTATCAGCTCACCAACTTCAGACCACAGACAATCCTCAAAGAGAAACAGCCCCAAATACTGATGTCTTGTTAAGCTCATCATTCAACAGTGAGCCCATAAAATGATTGTACTGAAAACCTGTGGAGCCACCGGACACACTCCAATGTTCTGTCAGAGAAATGTACCACATGCTTTCAGGTGGCCTTCAGACCACTGGGAAGCTGAGCTTCATCAGGAGAGATGCCTAAACTGCACCAGTACAGGAAGCCACTTGGGTAATCTGCAATTATCCACTCAGTCGCTGCATTTTTTGTTTTGCCTCGTCTCAACTCAGCCAGCCCACATCTCAACAGCAAGCACTCGGAATGAACCCAGCTCTGGGCATGTCAGCCCTGTCTTCCACACAATGCCTTGCTTCCGGCCCCGTTCCTATGTCACCTTCTTGATTTAGCTCCCCTTTATCAGCCCCACTCCACTCCTCATTACCTGGCCCTCGGGAGCAGCCAATCCCAGCACCCAGGATAACTACACAGGCAGCTGCAGGCCTGTCCAGAGCTCCCAGTCCGCAAGCCCAGCCCAGAGCCAGGCCTGAGTGCGTCTCTCCCAGTGGGAAGCTGTATAAACACACATGGCCTATGAGTGTGAACGTGAGATGGCAGCTCTCCATATCACCGTCTCCCAAGGCCAGAGTTCTGTGAGTGCTTAACAAACACCATGTACGTTATCAAGGAGTTTTCTGAAGCAAAGCAAGCAGTACAGCATCAATGCTGCTGAGAGGGCAACTGAAGCAGAAGATGAGGCAAGGAGCTTGGGTGTGAGGTCTCAGACAAACCAACTAACAAGATGAGCATGGGGTATTTAAGGAATGTAGAGCAACAATGAGAGCAATGAGAACCAAGGAAGTCCCTGAATAATCATGGTCAAATGTTTAAAATAAGGAAAAGAGGGGCGCCTGGGTGGCGCAGTCGGTTAAGCGTCCAACTTCAGCCAGGTCACGATCTCGCGGTCCGTGAGTTCGAGCCCCGCGTCAGGCTCTGGGCTGATGGCTCGGAGCCTGGAGCCTGCTTCCGATTCTGTGACTCCCTCTCTCTCTGCCCCTCCCCCCTTCATGCTCTGTCTCTCTCTGTCCCAAAAATAAATAAACGTTGGAAAAAAAAAAAATTAAAAAAAAAAATAATAAAAAATAAAAAAAAAAAATAAGGAAAAGAGGGGCACCTGGGTGGCTCAGTCAGTTAAGGGTCTGACTTTGGCTCAGGCCTTGCGGTTCATGGGTTCGAGCCCCGCATCGGGCTCTGTGCTGACAGCTCAGAGCCTGGATCCTGCTTCGGAGTCTGTGTCTCCCCCTCTCTCTGCCCCTCCCCCAACTTGTGCACGCTCGCTCTCTCTCTCAAAAATAAATAAACATTAAAAAAAAAAACCTTAAAATAAGGTAAAGAGACGGTTAGTCTGCTATATAGGCATGAGCTTCATCTTGAAATATAAAGTGCCTACAAAATGCTTTTAGTTCCTCAGTTATTCCACAGTGAGTACCAGTTTCAAGCATCATTAAGCATCATTAGTCAGTATTATCCCTGTTTTTTAAAAGAAGGTCTAGAAGGCTGACTACAACATCTCCTTGTTCCTCATTTCTGGGAAGTTCCTGCCACGGTCTCTCAAAGCCAACTATACACGACTGTGCCAAGACCCACTCGAAAAATCACAAGCTGGACTAAAGTCCCAGGATAGTACAGTAGTAATTACTTCTCCTTTCTGAGCAGTACACTGAAACTTCTCCAAGGCACTATCAACTACAGAAAAGAATTTAATATAAAGCAGTTCCATCTTGATTATCATTCGAAACCGTTTTGATCATTAAGCGAAAAGGAGGGGTTACTTTCCCTCTTACTGACCTCAAGGCATAATGAGGCCTGAGCGAAAGGCAGAAGTTCAGAAACACTACAAAGACTTCAGATCAACTTTTAAGTGCATCCAGTGTCATCAACAGTTGTTAAGTATACTCTCCAAAAAAAGTCCTCACGGTCCTAACAAAACGCCACAAACAAAC